TCACATTCATACTAACTGCTTTTAAGTTACCTGATGTCACAGTGGAGTTTCCACCCTGTCACCAGGATGATGCGGATGGCCAGATGTGCAATGCCAACAGATGAAACGATATGAAGGATGCCACATTCATACTGGTGGAAGGCCTGGCCCTGACTCTGGCACAGCTCACTACAATACACAACATCACGACAATCACAGCAGCTGGAGATAAAAGAATTATCATAATTAAAGACTAAGAAGGTGAGCTCTTATTAATGCAATAGATATAATTATCTAAGAATATTCTTTATCAATGCTAATATGACAGAATATTTTTCATCAATTATGATTATGATTATTGATTATGAATGAAAATATCTATCACTAGCTTGAGGTTTGAAACACAGTATCTTTTCATTAACTAGGTAGGATAAAGAGAAGATAATCTTCAAGTTTCATAAGAATTCCATAAGTATAGCTGCGACATTGTAGCTAAAGTAACATGAAAAATAATACTCACGGGACAGGGTTTGATACAGGAGAAAAGCAGGTTTGACAGTGTGTGTAGAAATACTCAGGCAAGAGTATAGCAGCATAGGGTCTCTCAGCAAATACTACAGAACCCTTGTTGATTTTTTGGTTTGCTATTACATGACGACCTAACTCACAGTTGACTCTGTAAAGATATATTCACATTCTTTGGATTTGGTTTGGTAGCTTGTTTTATACAGCTATCAAACAGTATGATGTTATTCAAATTTCAAGAGCAGCACAGTTTTCCTCTACTGAATGATCCAAATATCCTAAAAATATTAATAAGAATTCTGTAATATGAAAATGCCAAATTTCATCCACAACTCACCTCATTTCCAATGCACTGCTCATATATTTCACTGTTATGTTTTCCCCATTAAATAGTGCTGGACAGTCTACATCACTATAAATGCTTGGTACATTTTTTGATCCAGCAAGAATACCTAATGCTTTCTGTTCTAAATCTTCTACTGATTTTTTGAATTTCTCTGAAAAAAATCAAAGAAACATAAAAAAAGAGAAAATAAATCACTCATATTCTTCAGAACCATATTTCCAATTATAGTATGGCTCAGCTCAAAATAGTTAATCTAACACGGTTAGTGGTTAATGGTTAATGACTGAAACAATTAAACAGTAAAGTATTCTGGCAAAAAGGGTAAAAATTAGTTCACAATTAGGATAAAATGTGTTAAATATCAAAGGTTATAGAGTGTTATAGAGTAGCATGAGAGGAAAAAGATTAAGAGGGGGTGCAAATGAAGTTAATTGGAGATTAGTAAAGGAAAGGGTTAAGGGTATAGGGTGATTGGATGAAATAGTGTATCTATGGCTGGGGATGTTATAGGGACATTGTTTAAGGAAAATTGGCAAAAGAGCTATTATGAAATAATCAACATGTAATACAGGTATAGATGGCTGTTGGAGAAGTAGCTGGAGAAGAATCCAGGGGATGAGATAAGGGGAAGGTGGTGAAGTAACTGGAAGAGTGTGAGGAAGGGAGGGACAATGTTGTGACAAGGGATTTACGTGCATATCCTGAAGGGAGAGGTAAGGATAATGGGGAACGAAGAGGGAATGGTGCAGATGGAGGAGAGGATGGGTTGTGTTGGAAAAGAGTGGGAGGAAGAAGAGTAGGTGGGAACCTGAGGGGGAGGAGGATGGATATCAGCAAATAATTTGACTGTAAGGGAATAGGAATAGAGGAGGGTGGATAAGGGAATGGAGTGTTCCCTTGGGTCATGTCTAGGAATTTTTGGATGTCTTCATAGGGTTTCTGGAGGAGAGTTGGCTGGGAAGGTCTAAGAAATGAAGGTTCTCTTGTGATGATGAGAAGAGGGGATAGATGTCTGAGGACAAGAGGAAAAGGAGGGTGTAGGAGAGGATGTGGTAGGCAAAGATAGAGTGGAACGTTTAGGTTGTCTGGTGCGACAGGTAAAGTGAGAAGGGTAAGGAGGGGTAAGTATTGGGGAAGTGGTAAAGATTGGAGTATCTGGATTTAGACTGGAAAAGGAATTTGACTGGGGGAGAGGGGGAGTTGAGGTAGGAAGAAGGAAGAGAAACTGGGGGAGATGCAGAGACATCTTGAGAAGATGGAAGGGGAGCAGAGTGAAAGACTGTTTTGCAACTGGTATAGAGAGAAAAATCTTGTCATTGTGCTTCCTTCCTAGCCTCACATAGAGTGAGACCTAGTTTCAATCTGAGAACTGCTACCTCACATTTAAGCTTATAGGCTACCACAATTGACACATGCACATGACTGACCAGGATAGTTTGAATGGTTATGGCCAGATTGGGCACATAAAGAGGGCTGTCGAGCGACAGTGTTTGGCTGGGTGGCCAAAATACCAACATTTTTAATACATGGCAATATAAACTTCATGGGCGAGGTCATATCTATGGAAACTAATCTTGGCAATATCAGTGTAAGACTTACGCTGTCCTCTGGGAGGAATAGTGTAGCTCTGTACTGCCACTGCATGAGTCAACAAGGCAGGCAAGTAAGTCATTTTCACAGTCTGACCAGTTTTTGTTGTAGATGTGACAAACAGTTGGGGATACAGAAACAGTTCTGGTATAAATATTAAAAGAGGAGTGAGGTTTGGGAGGAATAGGTTTACCAGTAAAGTCATTCAGGGTAGACAGTGCACAAGCTTGGGACTCAGATATAACTGTGACAAAGTGTGAATGATCAGAATGACTGCAAAAGGAAACTTTGCCTACTTGTTTTTGGAGACATTGTTGGAAGAGAAGGGTATTGTCAGAGCAAGCAGTAAGTAAGGGGAATCACAAAGAATCAATCCCACTTGGCTGGGCCAAAGAGAGTACTCAAAAGATTTGCAGAGGTGGACAAGGGCAGGAGGAAGATGGGGTGGTGCGGGGTGAGGTAGTGTTATGGGGAGGAAGATGATAAGGATGAAGAGTAGTAATGAGAGACGAGAGGGTATACAATGAAGAAGACTGTATGGCAGATGGAGTGGAAAATGTTGGGAAAGAGGAAGGGGTGTTTTTTTTTTAAGGTTGAGTAATGATATGGGTAGGTAGTTCAACAGACATCAAGGAGGAGGTATTAGTATCAGTGACCCTAATAAGGGTAAAACATCATTATTGGCCATCCTGAGCCTGAAATAAGTAAGGAAAAGAAACGATCTACCCCTCAGGGGCCCCAGGGGTAAGGGCTAGGTAATTAACCAAGGGAATATCATGGCCATGGCTCCCGGAGGCCATTCATGACTGACACAAAGCCAGCCTTTCATCCTTTCAGCATGGCTCTCAAACCTTAGGAATGTGAGAACAGGAGGTGAAGAGAAGGAAAAGAGAAGGAAGAGAAGTAAAGTTCATACAAAATTAGCTGAGGCCCAAGGTAGAAGTAATCTCCTACACTGGGTCTCAGTCTCTGTCTCCTAAGCCCCAATGGTTTGGGGGGGAATCAATCTAATATGACTTCGTACAAATAGCTACAACTAATGCATTTTCATGTGATGGGGATCCAGTAAACTATTCTATATGGTACTATGTGGCATCTTTCTTCCAGCCTTAAGGGGGCCGTCGCGCTCGAGACTGAAGTTCGTCAGGTATGATCGGATATTTGTGATTTTTGAATATGTTATACATACATATAAAGTGATAAATACCACCAAATTTCATATCATTCGGATAATAAATAATAAAGTTATTCATGAAAAACAAGTTTTTGAGCAATCACAAACTCTTTAAAATTGCACTTATCCATTGAACAAACTTGTTGAAAAAAATACCACCTATAGTCTATAGCAATACCTAAAACTTGCAAAGACTGGTTTTGCATTTCATTTTAGTTTAGTGGGAATTTATTTTTCTCTAGATGTTCAATCTTATGAACATCATGATATAATATATGGGCTACTATTACCTAAAATAAAAATTTTCTCTAAGAAAACCATCGCAAATATATTCAGCTTTTAAATGATCCAAACCCCATTAGAATTGCCCAAGTATCTATGGATGAATCTTAAAAATGCTGACAAATGTTGACAAGAGTGTAGCTTTGAGATATCAGGCTCCAAAATTTAGGGAACTCGTCCCTCAATTTTTTTTTTCTTTTTTTTAATCTTTTTTTAAGACTTCTAATCTCTGTGGCAATCTTGCTGCATTCTATGGCATTCACATGGTATTTTGAAATGTAGCTGGTACACTGTCCCCTCCTGTTGCAAAGTACTAATGGTAATAACTGCACATGATTGTGGAAGTAGGCATGTCACCACAGGCTTTGCAGTGCCTGACCTGACCACGTGAGGTATTTAAATGTATAAACAACTGCTGCAGCTGTGATTAACAAGTATTTCTGATCATATTACGTTTATTAAATACTAAAATAACATCTACAATTAGCAGTGTCCCCTTACTGTGTTATATGGGCCTACATCTGCGATATGGTGTCGTGGAGGTAGGAGCTGGCAACCTTTCTCTCTGATTTTCTGGTGGAGTTTTGTCTCCCAGAGCCCGTTTTGATAATCAGCTGATGGGTAAACGGGGTTGCCAGCTAGCTACCAGAGAATGCCAAAATAAATAAATAAAAAAATCCGAAAAAAAAAAAAAAAATTTGTTGAGTATATTTTCACCGGATGTGACAATGTAAACATCAGAGCGGGTGGCGTGGGGGATCAGAGATTTAGTTATAACTCCTTTACTTTCACATATTTAGCAAAAATATTACGTCACAGGATTGCCAAACCCCACTAGATTCCAAGAGATTTTTTTCAATTTTTCAAGTATTTTTGAAAAATTTTGGCGCGACGGCCCCCTTAAAGCAACATAGAACTTCCCCCCCAATCCTTATAGCTGCATCTGCTATATTGGGCTCTCTCACTGTGATTGGATGGCTTCCATTTCCATTTATTATTACATAATAAAGATTTTTTCTTCCATTATGTGATTGATTTAAATGCTTTTGAGAGCTTTTTATTTCCAAATATACAAGGATTAACTCTTTCAACTTTGATGTTCCATTGTTCATTCACTATCTGACATACCCATATGAGACACAATTTCTTGTGTATAAAATTGAAATGGTGACAATAAAATCTGTTTTCTGGTTTAGTTTGATAGATTTAGCTAAGAAAAGACTAAGAAATGTATTGCAGTCTTCAGGGGTTAAATTAAATACTCTAATATCCAAAGGTAGCAACAAATTAGAACATGAATGGAAATACCTCTAGCTTCTATGGGAACATTACATGTGTGCCTACGGCATTGTTCCAATGACAGCTGAGTTTTCTCTTTGTTTTGCATGTTCAAATAGCATGAGCAACGACGAGTCAACAATTTATGGAAGATAGCAGCAGGATAGCCAGTCTTTTCTGCTCGCTCCATATCCTGAAGGCATTCCTGTGTAAAAATAGTAAAAGGTAGATACAACAAAATCCCATAAAAAATCTATGCTACAATTTAGTTCAATTTCTAAAATTCCTCCACTTTTATAAAAACAAATTTTGACATCTAATATGCATTTCAACAAAGCAATGTGTTAAATAACATGTATGATTTGTAGCTTCTCTTTCAGTATTCATATCAATACTTTTAGGTAAATATATATGGCTAAAAAAATACAAAAAAGAACTTTACCTCATATTTTGCCATCTGATAAAGAACAGCTGAGCGGTTAGCATATGCTAATGGAATGATGGTCGAGTTTCCTGGAGCCAAGCAAAGACATTCTGTATAGGCTCTGAGGGCTTCTGAATCCTTTTTCTTAAGGTAGGCCTTTGTAAGGAAAGAAAATATTACTAATACATACATGGATTTGAGTGTATGCATGTATATGTTATTACTAATACATACATGGATTTGAGTGTATGCATGTATATGTTATTACTAATACATACATGGATTTGAGTGTATGCATGTATATGTTATTACTAATACATACATGGATTTGAGTGTATGCATGTATATGTTAAGATATGAAGTCATAATGTGCATGCGTATATCTAATTTTACAAAAGTCTACTCTAGAAAACTAATTTCAGACAGGAACCATGGAACATGTTAAAAATATATGCCCTAATCCAGGGGTTCCCAACCATTCTCATAATAACATAATAATCTACATGGCCCCGTTCAATGACTATCATCATTTCAGATTCAGATAGCGTAAAGGTATCAGTTGATATATGACAAGAAACCTTTATGGATATTATATAAATGCATATATATATATATATATATATATATATATAATATATATATATATATATATATATATATATAGTATATATAGTATAATTGTATGTATGTATGTATTTATGTGGGGGGGTGATTAGAGTGCATGCATCTTAGGCTAAGTTAGTCTTAACCTTCCTACAACCTCTCCTCTTAACTACTTGCATGCTACCTTCCTGTGGTCCCCCCTATTTTATTACAGAATGCATGCAAGCGACCGAGTGTCTGACGGTATAATCAGACCCCCCTGCTGCCTTGTAGGGTATGCCTCCTTAGGTAAAGGCTAGGTGAAGGAAAACTCTGAATTAAAACCATGCCAGTCGGTCTGGCTGTAAGGCAAGATCTGGTGGACTAGATTATCGGCAGACCGATGCAACTCCACACCACAGTCTTGTATGTCACACCTGTGTGCCACAGGAGGTAGGTGTGGAGCCAGAGTGTTTGGGCATCACTTTGGCAAATTGTTGTCCACCCTAAACAAAGTCACGCCAACGGCCTTTTCAGTCCAACTACTGTCTCTTTAACACCCTCCTTATCTCCTTTCTCTTCCTCTCCTCCTAACCCTACCTAAAAGAGGCCAGTGGCAAAGGGACAAGGGTGGTGGGAGTAGGCTTGGTGTAGCTGGAAGCTCTTAGCCAGGACCTACACACTGGCAGCAGGCATGTGATGGCCACTTCTCTTGTGACCACCACCCTAACAATAATTAACCTATGACCCCCTCCTCTATTCAACCTTCATTGGACTGAAAACTATGATATTCGGATACGAGTACATGCCGACAATGTATTTATGTATGTGTATGTATATGTATATGTATATGTATATGTATATAGATATAGATATGGATATGTACACATACATACATGCACACACACACAACACACACACACAAACACACACATACACACACACACGCACNAATAATATATATATATAATATATAATATATTATATTATATATGTTATTATAATATATATATATATATAATATATATAATATATATATATATATATATAATATATATATATAATAATAGTATATGGTGTATATGTATTATATATATATGTATATATATATATATATATATATATATAATATATATTATATATATATATATATATTATATATTAGTATATATGTATATATGTATATTACATATATATTATGTTTATATGTGTAATATATATATATATATATATATATATATATATATATATATATATATATATATATATGTATTATTATATATAATATATATAATATATATATATATATATATATATATATATATATATATATATATATATATATAGTGTATATGTGTATGTTATACATATATATATATATATGTATATAATATATATATATATATATATATATAAATATATATATATATATATTATATAATATATATATGAAAAATATGTATATATACACATGTGTGTGTAATATACCATATATATATATATATATATCGATATAATATATATATATATATATATATATATATATATATATATATATATATATATATATATATATATATATATATATATATATATATATATATATATATATGATAAGTATGTATATATATATACACACACACTCAATAATATATAATAATATATATATATATACAAGAGACTAGAGAAAAGATATAAGAGAGAAGAAGAGAGAGAAGAGGAGAGAAGGAGAGAAGAGAGAGAGGAGAGAGAGAGAGAGAGAGAGAGAGAGAGAGAGAGGGGGAGAGAGAGAGAGGGAGGGAGAGACAGAGAGACAGACTGACAGACAGACAGAGAGAGATAGAGAGAGAGAGAAAGAGAGTTAACATGCTTTCAGAAAAAATCACCCACATATTATACACTTTGAATAAAGATATATGCGAAAAGATCCTCAATTTTATCCTCTTTTTAAACTTGACAGCTCCTTTAAAAGAGATTTTCCTGACAGTCAGTCCAATCTACGCCTGATTAGCCAATAAGCATTGCTATTCAAGGCCCGCACTGCAAGGCTAGTCAGAGTGATGGAAAACAAACGACAACAACAACAAGAGCGACAACAACAAAACACGACAACTACAATAACACGACAGCTTACAACGACACCAACAACAATAACAACAACAATAATAACAAAAAACAACAACGACAACAATAACAACAACAACAGCAACAACAACAACAACAACAACAACGACAACAACAACAACAACAACAATAGAGCAGCAGCAATACCATGAGTGATAACCACAATAATGATAATAATGTTGTTGTTATGAAAGTGAATAAGAATGATGTAAATGACAACATTAGAATGAATGATGATAAGGTGATAATAGTGATAAATAAAATGATAACAATAATACGAATAATAATAATAACAAAATAGAACTGATGATACTAATAACAAAAAGTAATCATAAAAATAATGGTAATAATGAAAATAATAATAACAATAGCAATAGTAATAACAATAAATAATAATAACATGATGATGATGAATGAAATGATAAAATTAATGATATCAATAATATAATATATATATATATATATATATATAAATATATATATATATATATATATATATATATATATATATATATATATATATAATATATATATATATATATATATATATATATATATATATATATATATATATATATATTATATATATATATATATATATATATATAATATATATATATATATATATATATATATATATATATATATATATAATATATATATATATCACATATAGAATATATACATATAAATATATATACATACATGTTCCATTTCCTTCTCCCCTCCCCTCCCTTTCCTTCCCTCCCCCTACCTCCACCCTCTCTCTCTCCTTCTCCTCCCCTCCCCTCACCCTCTCCTTCCCCCACCCTCTCCCACCCTCCCTCCCTCCCCCTCACCCTCCGTCAACTCGTCCAAAACAAAAAACAAAACAAAGCAAAAACTCCCGAACCACTCCGGATAGTTTCCGATACCCGAGTGTGGATAGATATTGCGATAGTCTCGGGTCGGCGTCGTGCGAGGCTGGTGATAGGGGATGGATCGCCCGCAAGAAAATTGAGCTTTGGCAGGCGGCCCTGGGAGGTTGGTGGGCGTGTTTGCTTGTCTTTATTTTTCTCTTCATTCTCTTCTCTTCTCTTCTCTTTCTCTCTCGTCCCCTTTCTCTCTTCTCTCTCTCTCTCTCTCTCTCTCTCTCTCTTCTCTCTCTCTCTCTCTCTCTCTCTCTCTCTCTCTCTCTTCTCTCTCTCTCTCTCTCTCTTTCTCTCTCCTGTTGTGTGTGGTGTGTGGTGTGTGTGTGTGTGCCTCACTATATGTCTGTCTTGCCATATTTTTTTCCTCTATCTATCTATCTGTCTATTTCTGCCTGTCTTTATTCTCTCTCTTCTCTCTCTCTCTCTCTCTCTCTCTCTCTCTCTCTCTCTCTCTCTCTCTCTCTCTCTCTCTCTCTCTCTCTCTCTCTCTCTCTCTCTCTCTTTCTTACCTATTCTATCTATCTTCTTTCTCCTCTCCTTCATCTTCTTTACTTCCACTTCTTCATTTTCTTCTTTTCTTCTTTTTCTTTTTCGTCTTATTCTTCTGCTTTTCTAGTCTTTGAAAACGAAAAGAAATATAATTTTTGTTCTGTCAGTTTTCTCCGTGTTTTAGAAACATTTTGTGTAGGCATGTGCACCTAAACTGTATTTGCATGCATATTGACAGCCGTATACGTCCATAGTGTAGGTGTGTGTGTGTGTGTGTGTGTGTGTGTGTGTGTGTGTGGTGTGTGTGTGTGTGTGTGGTGTGTGTGTGTGTGTGTGTGTGTGTGTGTGTATATAATAGATAGATAGATATAGATAGATAAATACACAGACACACACAGACACATAAATACCGTACACACAGGCATTCGCACATACACATTCACACACACAGACACACATACATACCGTACACACAGGCATACCACATATACATTCACACACAGACATTACCGTACACACAGGCATTGCGCACATACACATTCACACACACAGACACACATACGTACCGTACACGCAGGCATTCGCACATACACATTCACACATACACACCCGGTCATAATTTCCGCAAAACACACTATACCTCTTTACCCGTGACAAGACACCCTCAAGAGAGCGAAAGCCCCGTCCAAGGAAGCTCCGAGCTGCGTCGCCAGCATGCCTGCAACTGTTGCAAGCAAGCGCCCAGACGAGAGGACGGTTCCGGCGAGAGTTCACGCGCCGAGGAGAGCAGGTTCAGCTCCTTATGTAAGGCAGACGCGTTCTGGTCCCCGCCCGCAGGAGGCAGCAGAGGGCCGTCCAGCGGCAGGAAAGTTCCTCCGAGAGCTCTGATTCCGAAGACGAGGAGGACCTCCAACCCAACCCCAACGACAGCCGTATTCTGGCCCCCGCCCGCTGGATGCAGCACAGACAGGCTCAGCGGGAGGAGAGTTCTTCCGATAGCTCTGACTCTGATGACGAGGCTTAGGAAAATTCCTCCGGGGGCTCAGACCTCGAGGAAGACCAGATCAAGTGCCACCCAAATGACAGACGCATGATCCCCGCTCGAAGGATATTCCAGTAACTGAAGGGCAGGTGTGCACCCACCCGCAGGACAGAAGATAATACACCCGCTCGCAAGACAACGCCTATCAGCGTCCAGCAGGAGGAGAGTTCCTCCGAGGACGAGCAGCTCCAAGCCCACACACTCCCTGCCGCAGATCAGACGGAGCTCCAGGAGGAAGAGACCGAGAGTCGGATCGAGCCAAAGCTGCCGAAGTTTTAGGAAGGAATGTGCGGTTTTGTGGTGTCCAGTCAGTAGAGTTTCACGGTCGCTTTTGGCTCGCCCAGCGCACTCTTAATGGGCGCCGAGGAGAAGCTCGAGCAGCCGACCGAGAAGATGGTGGGCGGCAAGGCAAAGACGCGCAAGACACAGGAAGCCAAGAGAGTTTGCGCGGAGAGGGTGGCCGAGCGCTCAGCTGAGCTCCTTGTCAACGAAGACGGCGAATCTCGAGTCACTGGGATCGTCTTAGGAGGCCTCGGGCCCGTCAGGAGATTGGTGGAATAGAAGCTGCCTCCGGTACTAAAAAAGATCCTGCTCAGGAACCAGCCAACCAAAGCTGTTGGCAAAGATGGTGTCCTGGAGCTCATGAAAGCGCAGTTCGGGAAAGTACCAAAGGCCGACCCCGGTCCTAAGAAGGTGACTGGCTCCCTCCGCACCTAGACTCGGGGGAAGGTTGACCTCGACATACGAGAGGGTCTCATGTGTCTCGATGATTTGATCGAAGAGCGCAACGCCAAAATCGGGAGACAACTGAACCCCGAAATCTGGGAAATAGATCTCAGCGAGGATTTGTCCGGCATGTCCATCCACTAGAAGGACGTCCCCCTCCCCGAAGAGCAAAAGCCCGCGTAGGAACCGG